TATTGTACATAATTTTTATACTACTTCTATAGATTTATTGATCAACTATTTTTTTATACAATTTTAAAAAATCTTAGTGATTTTTTTAAAATAATTATATATGATATATATAGTATTAATATATTTAAAAAAATTATGTAAACTAAATATTTACTTAAAGTAATAATATTTCCTCGGTAAAGATAAAGATGTATTTGTATAAATTCAATACATTGAATTTTATAAATAAGAATATAAATGATGGGACCCTGAAATGTTTGTAAAAACAATGAAAAAACTTGAGGGAGGTTTTCGTCATAGTGGGGAACCGAAGATATGTTCAAGTTTTTGAGTTGTTTGCAGAAACGCACGTGGCCGAAACATATAAAGATCGGCATAGTCGCGCATAGGGAAGTTGGTGTTGATGTGATATGGAAAAGCGGTGAAAAAACCTCAACATCGTCGATGCTCCATATTTAGTCACGTCTTTATTACACCTATATTCTCCAAAATATTTGATTCACATTTTTTACATTTATATCAGAAGAACAGAAAAAAAATACTAAACATATATGTTTAGATAAAAGGACGAATTACATAAAAAAGTAAAGTACCTTAATCTTATTTCTATTTTGGCTAAAGTATTTTTAAAATTATCATTCAATCTTATTTCTATTTTGGCTAACGTACTTTTAAAATTGTCATTCTGGTACTTGAAATATGAAATCTCAAATTTTTGAGTACCCGAGTTATCTAATGACATGCAAATACTAAATAAGATCAGGGTTTTTTTTTTGACGTGACATTATTTATTTATTTTTTAAACGCCAACTTAGAAAATAAATTCCATATCATCATTTAAAAAATGTAAAATATATATTTTTTATAACTATGCAAAAACATTCCGTAGTATTATTATGCAAAAATATTCTTCTCCTTTGAAAGCTGCAAGTTCTTTCTACTAAGGAGTTATTTGGTAGTTGCTAAATGATATGATGTATAATGGTTGAATGGTCAGAACGCTTAAGAAGCTCTGTATGATATAGTGCAGAATGTAATATAGTTGTTTGGTAACTGTTCTGAACTGATAATCTGAATAACAACAGACTACCATTTTAATTATGTATATAATTTAGTTCCAAACAAAGAATATAGCACTTTGATAAACAAGAAACCAAGAAAAAACCTACTTGCTCTACTCATGTGCAGCAGAAAGTCCAACCTGCTAAGGTCCGTTCCATTTGTCTTTAAAAGTTAACGTTTTTGCCCTACCTTACGCCCAAGTCTCTCTCTCGGCCTCGCCTCGCTTCACCTTCATGATTGAACTGACTCTCGACCCACTATTAATAACAATTTCTCTAAGTCTCTGGCTTACGAAAGTCTCTCACTCTTTCTTGTCTCTTGATCTCTCATCTCCAACTCCAAGTCTCTGGCTCTTTTAGTCTTAAAGCAACCCATTTAAACTTGTGGTATAAATTCTAATGCCAAATATTTATGTCTTTCACTCTTTTGTAGATTAAAGATTTGTTTTATTATTTGGATTATTGTCTACTTGTCTTGTTGAATTTTGATAGTTAGATGATTACTTCAATTTGCTAATGTGTTTCTCATTGGTATTCTCTTTATGCTTGGGTTCGGCCATAATATTACCAAGGTTGATGATGCCCTCCAACTGTTCGATGAAATGCCACCAACTTAAACTCCGTGATATTAACTGAAAGATTGGTTACATAGTTTGATTATTGGTCTAAAAAGTATCGATTTTACTTGTTTTCTATGTCCAATTTGTCATTAAAATTGTGTGGTATCATGATTATCTTCTTTCATGTTCGGTGGCTTTTTAGGTCCTTTGATATTAAGATGAAATCTGGTTAGGGATTATGATAAATTAACCACACACCAACTTTTAGAATTGAGTGTTGTACATGTTGCTTAGAGCATTAGCTATTACTTAGTACATGAAACAAAGTCATAAACATAATCAACCATATCACTTTCATAGCATGTTGACATATTCTATTAGATGCATCATTCATAATCACATTGTTTTAATTTCGTTTAATAAGTATATAACAATGTCAATTTGCATAAATCTCCTGGTTTTTCTACCTATTGAGTTGTTTTGTCAGATTGATTTCATAAGCACTGATCCTTTATCATGTTTTCTAGCTTACACGTCAAGTTGTATAATGTATTCCAAAAATATTTCTTAAAAGTATTCCGTCTTGAATTATATTTCTAGCATAAATGTACAAGCTATATTCATAGTCCTTTAAATCACCTATTTTTACACATATCTAGTAATTTGTTGTATATTTGTGTTGATAAAAAATGTTAGACATTTGAAAAATGATCTCTAAGTAGCCATGATGAGTGGTCACTATTGTGGTTTCTTTCATTTGAAAACTCAAGGATTCACCGGTAACTCCTTGATCCCTTAGAAATAGGGTGTTTTGTCTGTTTTTTTTTTTTAGGTTGGGGGAATTTTTTAGATTTTACTTTTAGGACATGAAAAAACTCAGGACCAACCCTAACTAAAAGACTCAATTTCATTAAAAAAAGATTAAGAACTTCTTGAATCTCAACAAACCCTTCCTTAAACAGTAGCAGGGCCGACCCTGGTTATAGATCCAGGGGGCAACGACCCAGGGCAGCATAAAACCCAAGGGCATCAAAATTTCAAAGCCTAATTTTCATTTGGGCCTAGAAATATTACCTTTACCTTGCGTCCAGACTCCAGTACACGGTCCATCATCCTCATCCTCCCTCACGCTCACTCCTAGGAGTGCTCAAAAACCCGATCAACCCGACAAACCCAACCCAACCCAACACAAAATAACTCAACCCGAAGCAACCCGATGTCTATTCAAGTTGTAAAATTTTCAAACCGTAGTTATTGGGTTGATATTGGGTTGCTATTATATGAACCCAACCCAACCCGATGAACCCGATGTTCTTTTATTTCTTGGATTTAATATGATCGTTAAATTTATATTAATATATACATTAGACAGTTACACTATCATATACGCTCTTCATATACACATATTTTCAATCTATTCACACCTCTATTAACTCACTCGTATATATGTTCAGTAATTGTGAACATATATATGTAAATTGAAAAAAACTAACTCAATGTGATATACGTAAGAAATATGGATAAGTTGTATCAAATGGTTGATGATGAAAAGAAATTATGAGTAGAAAAATAACATATTCAAGATTAGAAGAATATTTTAATATACCAAGGTATCAACCCGACCAACCCGTACGGGTTGGGTTGGGTTGCACTTTGGTTTGGGTTGGGTTAAGATTTTTCAAACCGCAATCATTGGATTGGGTTGTTCAAATGTCTTCAAACCGATCAACCCAACCCATGAGCACCCCTACTCACTCCCTCGCTCTCGCTCTTCGGCCTCGCTGTCGCCTCGCTCACTCACGGAACTCACGAGTCACGACAGTTGACACAATCGGGCAATCGGCTCTCGAATGAAGTTCACGATTCACGCCTCGCTCCAGACTCTAGTACACCGATTTAGTTCACGATTCACGAATCGCTATCGGCCTTTACAGTTGACACAATCGGGTAATCGGCTCTCACTCTTGCGACTACTGCCTGCCGTCTGCCGGTCTGCGTTGCGTCTTCTCACTTTTGCCGTCTGCGACTCGCTCTCTGCCTTCTATCGACTTGTGAGGTTAGGGATTTAGTCATTTAGCCGGTTACAGTTAGCTACTTAGGGTTATTAATTATTTTATTTTTTGAAGTTCCTAATTCTTGTTTGATTGCAAAACCTAATAATGAAGCTGTGAAATTGGTCCTTGTGGTTTGTCATTTATGTTTCTAATTCTTGTTACTGACTTACTGTATCACTTGTTAGTTGTTACTGACTTACTGTGTTTGAGTGTTTCATTTGTTAATTTTAGGGCTGTTTAAAAGCGGGTTAGTACTTAGTATAGGACAAAGGCTTAAGATTGATGCTTAAGGTGCTCAAAATAGGAAAAGAACATTACAATGGGACTTGGGACTGTTTCTGGGGCTATTTCGTTTTGCAATTTCTAAGTAAATTCCATGAAATGAGTCTGGTTTCTCACTTCTGTTTGCAGACATTGCTGTGTGTCAAACAGTCAAAGCTTCTGCTGCCATTTGTTAATTGTTGGGTCATGGTTGAACGGGTGGTTGGCCTAAAGATGTCTATAAGAGTATAATACTAATAGAACATAAACCTCTTCTTCCTTCCATAAAAAAAAAACAACCATTTCTTGTTAGGTTGGTGGCCCAAATTCCTCTTCACTATTTGTATCCTCTAAAGACTTCAAAATGTGAATAGAATTTCCATTCCTTTCCATTTGCTCAAGCCTTAAATTTTTTACTTTTTAGGGTTGTTTAGAAGCTTTTTAAGAGCTGTTTTGAAGCGGGTTAGTATAGGACAAAGACTTAAAGATTGATGCTTATGTTTTCTTCTCTTTTATCAATTTGTCCATGTTGCTTAATCGTTCCACTTTCTTGGCAATTTCACAACACGAACCACAAATGGCGATGTATTTTATATTCTGTTACACGGAGTTTTGGTTTATGTCCCCCTTGTTGCATCATATTTGTTATATTTAAAATAAATTGGAGTGGGGATGAACGGCCTAGATTGACTAGGTTCCAAACCCCTTCAAATAGTTTTTTTTTTGTTTTTGTTTTTATTTACATATTTAAGGGACATTTTTTTGACTTTCTGCCATGGACATCCAAAATCTCAGGACCGACCCTGAACAGTAGTTGTAAACGTTCAGTTTACAATCAATGCACACAGATCTAATATGCTTCTGAGCTTCAAAAAATATAAGCGACTTGGTCTTCACTCCTACATATAGAATATCAACTCTTCCATTATTGCAAAGATTCCTTAAGAAATAGAAACGTACGTCTGTAAGTTTATTACTTTTTCGTGTAATTTTAGATAAAATCACAATTTAAATATATGAGAAGACAACTAAAAGAAAATTTATAATTTCAAAAAAGCAAGAAGCGATTTTTACCATTTGCACTTTTGCAGGTCAGCTTCGTCTCCGGCGGCTAAAACCCTATAACCCACACCCATTTTTTATATCTTCAAAATTACACCATATCTTAATGATGAAATCACTAATCTTTCCATCAAGAACAGCCTCAATCTTGATCCCAAATCTTGTTTTTAATCCCTCTAAGTCGCTATCTTCCGTTTCTAACTTCGTACCTATTAGAAACCCTCATTTTATCCCTGAAGTACGTTCTCTTAGATCACCCTCATCATCTTTTTCATATTCTTCTTCAAGCCCAGATGAAAACGGCCATTGCTACCAAACTGAGGGTGAAATTCACGTAATTGTGGGTCCTATGTTCGCCGGAAAAACTACCACTTTGCTTCACCGGATGAAATCTGAAAGCTCTAATGGCAGGTTTGTAGCTCACTTCTATCTGTTTGAAAAGTTAATTGTATCATTGAAATATTGCATTGATTTTCTATATTCACTGTGAATGTTATGTACATGAATGTCTTACAGTATTTTTTGCATCTCATCCAAACAAGGTTGCTTGTGGGGGAATTTAGTGTTTGATGTAATGGTGTGCGTTCTTTGGGATGATTTATCCAACAAGAAGAACAAAACTTAATATTTACAAATGCAAAAATGGGTCCAAAGTTCCTTTAACATCAACAACTGCAATATATTCATTCGACCACCTTTATTTTCATTCAATCTAATATATAGATGAATTTTAAGATTGGATGTCTTCTCAATTTAGGCGGTTAATGGAAAATTTTCTTCTTGCTTTCTGTTCCAATAGCTGAATGCAATTATCACTGGTAAGATATTCCCAGATTTCAGGCTAGGGACTCTGACAACTTCCGCAACGTGGATAAAACATTGAAGAATCTATGTTTATCAGGAAGACTGGCAGAAGCAGTTCGTTTGTTATGCCACACAGGACAGCAGGTGGACTCAGAAACCTATTCTCTTCTTTTGCAAGACTGCATATTCAAAAAATATTATCATCATGGCAGAAGAATCCATTCACAAATGGTTGTGGTTGGTTTTCTTCCCAACGAGTATCTGAAGATCAAGTTGTTAATATTGTATGCAAAATCAGGGGATCTAGTTACTGCTCATATTCTATTTAATAGATTGCTCATGCCAAACGTGATTTCATGGAACACCATGATTGCAGGGTATGTGCAAAAGGGTCTTGAAGAAATGGGCTTAAGTCTGTATTACAATATGAGACAAAGTGGCTTAACACCCGACCAATTCACTTTTGCCTCAGTTTTTAGGGCCTGTGCGACCCTAGCGATGCTAGAGCAGGGTAAGCGAGTGCATGCTGTTTTGATAAAGAATCAGATAAGTGGAAATGTTGTAGTTAATAGTGCTCTAATTGATATGTATTTCAAGTGCAGTTGTCCATATGATGGGCATCTAGTATTTGATAAGGCATTGGACAAGAATGTTGTTACATGGACTTCCTTGATATCTGGATATGGACAACATGGAAGAGTAAAAGAGGTCTTGGATGTCTTCCATAGGATGATAGATGAAGGCTTCAGACCAAATAATATTACTTTTCTTGCAGTTCTTTCTGCTTGTAGTCATGGAGGTTTGGTTGGAGAGGGTTGGAATTATTTTCGAGCAATGAGAAGAGATTATGGAATTCAGCCTCGAGAAAAGCATTATGCAGCAATGGTAGACCTTTTAGGACGCTCAGGAAGGCTGGATGAAGCTTATGAGTTTGTAAGAAATGCACCATTTAAAGATCATCCAGTGATATGGGGTGCTCTTCTTCAGGCTTGTAAGGTTTATGGAAACATGGATATGGTGAAAATTGCTGCAAAAAACTACTTTGAGTTGGAACCTGAAAATGTTGGTAAATATGTTGTCCTATCTAATGCTTATGCCACTTTCGGGGAATGGAGTAATGTTGCTGAGATTAGAAGTGTATTAAAGGAACTGGGGATGAAAAAGGAGCCTGGCTATAGCATGATTGAGGTGCAAAAGAAGGCCCACTTTTTCTTTATGGGGCACAACATGCATGAAAGAACTGAACAAATATATGAGGTGATCAAAGATATGAATTGTATCTTAAAAGACGCTGGCTATTATCTCGACTTCACGGTTGCTAGCTTATAAGCAGTTATTTCACTTTGGTGAAATGAGATCAATCTTCTCTTTTCAGTTGTGGATGAACCAGTGGACATCATTGGATGTTGAAGCCTTGCCATTTTGAGTTCATCAGGTTAAATAGTAGAAACAGTGCCTAATGGAAGAAAGATGTTACAGTTGCATATAATCCTCGGATATAAGCTTCTTGCAGGTTGGTTAGCACATAAAAAGTGAGAACAGTTCTCCAACTAGAGATTTTTGGATGTTCCACATTTTTTGATGCTCCGTTCTATGGGATAATTCTGTATTTATATCTTTATCAGTGGTCATCTTCTTTAAGAAACTCTAACTAAAATGTTATATATTTTTCATGTTAGCTTATTTTTTCTTGAGTTCATTAGCTATGTAAATCGACTTCTTTTTCTTGTTCTAGTTGGGATTCTGTCCAGGAGAATAAATTTTGACACTTGTTAGCTGTAGCATTTTTTATATAATATGTATCTTCCTGCAGAAATGTAGCTATTATAAAGTCCAGCAAGGATACAAGATACGGATTGGATTCCATTGTGACACATGATGGAGAGAAGCTACCGTGTTGGCCACTGGAAGCGTTATCATCATTCAAAGAAAGAATTGGTATCGAAGCTTATCATAAGGTAATTTCAGTGTCAAACTTATTCTCTGAGAGTTGGTGTGTACTTTGTTAAGTGATCTTATTTCTTCTTCATGTGGCTGTTGTATGAATATAGCTTGAGGTGATTGGAATCGATGAAGCTCAGTTTTTTGACGACTTGTATGATTTCTGCATCAAAGCTGCTGACCATGATGGTAAAACTGTAATTGTTGCTGGCTTGGACGGTGACTATTTGCGGTAACACCCAAACTTTATTTCATTTGGTAACAGATTAGGTAGTTTAGATCACCAGAGTCCTATCGTACCACTGAGAGGGGAATTATTTTGCATTACCTTACCTTTTTTATGTTGTCAATGTACTTGCTCATATCTAGTTTTTCAAATCTTGGCTTATTTTTTTTTCACTTTCACACGTTTCTCGCTAGCCAGGGTCTTCTCGGGAAAATCTGCTCTACACCTTAACCCCAGACCTATGCTGTTACTGCGGTCAAAATACAAAATATCGGTCAGGACCGATGTTCAATATTTTGGTTATATCGATGATATATCGATCCAATATAGCGGTTAATATAATATCTCTTAGAATTATATATATATATATATATATATATATATATGCATCCATAAACATATCATATGCATTAATTAGAGTTTAGAAATATAGTTTCAAAACTAAAACATCACATAAAAAAAGTCTCACAAAACAAAATAGGAAAAGTGTTCAAAAACGAACTAATCGCAAACAATAAGCGTGAACTGTGAAAGAGACGAGAAGAGAAGAAGATTGAACTGTGAAGAACCGAGAAGAGAAGATGCGTGAGACTTAATATGTGTTGACTGGTTGACCAAATAAAGAGGCCCAAAAAACTAATCCCTACATGTAACAAAAAAACCCCAAACATTTGTCTTATAGAAAATCGGTATATCGGACCGATATTTCACCAACGATATTTTTCCAGAGTCCGATATCCGATATATCGCCAATATATCGGCGATATATCGCGATTTTGACAACATAGCCCCAGACTCCCCCTCCGGGTAGGATATACTGGGCTCGTTTGGTCTAGTAATGTACCTACTCATTACTTTTTCACTCATTGTTCTCTTCTTGGGGTTATAGCTATATGCTAGATTGCTAGTCATAGTTCCTTTTACCTGTTTGCTCAAACTCTTGCACAAGAAAGGTCTTTATGGAAACAATCGCTCTACAGTTTGCGGTAGAGGATAGGTCTGCATGCCTCTCACCCTTGCGGACCCTACTTTTGAGTGGGATATATTGGGTCGGTTTGGTTTGGTTTTTTGTCCTATTTATATATGTTGCGGAAAGAAATAAATGGAGATGCAAATCCACAATTCCATGAATGGGACCTCGTAATCTTTATCACTTATGAACAAGTAAAAGTTTTAGTCCAGCAATTTGCTAATTGTGATTTGATTATGGAATATAAACATGATTTGCAGAAGGAGCTTTGGAGTACTGGATATAATACCAATTGCAGAATCTGTAACAAAGTTAAAGGCACGATGCGAGCTGTGTGGCAAGCCTGCTTTCTTTACCTTACGGAAAACAGAGGAAACGGAAAGAGAACTGGTTGCTGGTGCAGATGTTTACATGCCAGTATGTCGAAAACATTATGTGAGCGGCCAAGGAGTCAAAGAGGCTGCAAGAACAGTTCTTGAAACACACAAGGTTCAGTGTCGCTCATTATCGTAGGTTCTTTAAGCATTAAAACTATGAATTTGTGTTGTACACTAGAATCCGTCAATCAAATTTATATAAAAATCTTTGTTGGCTCCTGCTTCTAATAGAGCTGTGTATGGACAGGATGACCCGTTAAACCTGGCTTGCTGAAAAGTAGGCTTGGTTAGGCCTGGCCCGTTAAGATTAATGGGTGGATACGATGATTATAAAATTATGCGTTTTATTTAGCTATCCTAACACTATATATGTGCTAAAGTGGCTATTTATCTAACGTTTACCTGGTGTACATGACAAAGATTCACAAATTTTACTTGGTAAGTGAAAGAGAACGACTCTTACTTAGATAGCCCTTATTGGGTAAGACATGTTTATCAACAATTCATTTTGATGACCGAGAATGTTATCCGATGAGGTAATTGAGAGTGGTGACTTTTGCTGATATGCATTTGGTAAACGACTCTTAACTCTTATTCTATGTCGGAGATGGTGTATTTAAAGAGATTTTTACATAGCTTATGACTTTGTCAGCTTGTGTTTCTTCAATGTTTTGTCATCATTTTATTTGGAGCGTGATGTATGTGATTCATTGTGTATTATCATTTTGACGATCGTATTCCATAAATACAACTCATTTATCTTATTCGTTGTCCAACATATTAGGTTTAGGTCTTTTATCTCGAGTTTGTGTCGACTCTGGACATAAAACAAAGCTCGTTTAACATAATAAGACGACCTTAACACTAATGTTTGACATGACTCGACATAAATATATTCATATGTTTAGAAATCATGCAATTAAGATATAAAGTTATTGAATTCCAACAAATAAGTTCATCGATCTCGAGTTTAAATCAATAGAGGAATTAAAATTAAGTGATAATGTGTAACTGGAATTTTTTAAACTCGGTAAAATCTTATTTGAACAACTACCGATCTGAACCACTGTCGCCACCGCCGATCTGAACCACCGTCCATCTGAACCATCGTGGACCATCATCGATCTGAACCACTGCCGACCATCGTGGACCACTACCGAATCGCCGACCACCGTTGATTTAATAACGTCGTTTGGCTTATGGTTATATTTGAGTTGTGTATTTTATATTATTTTTATATTAAATAATTATTTTATTAAAACATTTTTAGTTTTAAAAAAATTAAATTTTTTAAAAAATAGCATTTTGTTTAGTTATCAATATTTCATTCGAATTTAAAAGTTAATCAAATAGATTTCAATTTCTTAACAGGTTCTATTTTAATGTATGAAAACTAAAAATAAGATCAAGTCTCACAACATTCCGTTACAATTTCTTTAAAGTGAAATTCTTTTATCAGATTCTATTCCATCTTAAAAAAAAAAAAAAAAGAGTTTTGTAACGCCCACCCATCGGTACTGAAGTAGAACAAACAGCTGCTACATGGCGATTGTGACTTCGTTGCTGCCGAACGGCGGAGCAACCTTAACCTAATCACTCACCATTCTCGCCAAGTCACGGTACAGCCTCAGGCCAACGACTTTCCCTGCTGCCTGTCACCGTTCACGCCGCTTCTGCTCACGAGTCACCCCCCTGCTGCACTGCTGCTTACACCTGTAATCCGGTATGGTTTACTGATTTTTGCCATCCATTTTTGGTTCCATCTATATGGATGGTTATTAGTTTCTGTTGTCGCCTTGAAAGGATTCAGTGCCGACTGCCTTTATGCATTGTTTAGGGTTTAGTCATTTTCTTTGATAGAGAAAAACAGAAGATCAATTGCAGAAACTGTACAGAAAGGTATGTAGCTGAAGGAGTCAATTTCATTCAAAAAAGATAAGGCCTTCCTGAATCTCAACAAACTCTTCCTTAAACTGTAGTTGCAAAATGTCAGCAACTTGGTCTTCCCTCCTGTAGTGTAGATCAATTGTTCCATCATTGCAAAGATTCCTTAAGAAATAGAAGCTTACATCTATATGTTTACTTCTTCCTTGTAGCACTAGATTCTTCAACAATTTGATTGTTGAGCTGTGTCCATAGATGATTTTAGTTGCTCCAGGTTGCTTAAAGTGAAACTCTTAAATAACTCTTCTAAGCGAAGCTGTAGCAGTGACAAAGAGTGTGCTGTCAACCTTCTTCCCATCTTCATCTTTGTGTAACTTCATGCCACACTCAGTCGGAGTGCTTACTGCATTGCAATCCTTCATCTGAAACATATACATCAGATTACCTACTATTTGCTTAAAGAATTGGATTTATAGCCCAAACTCTATATATTATTTTCGTATTTCATCCAAGGCCCTCCCTCCTGAATAGGGACGGTGATTTGCCCTGATCCGGTGGGGGCCCGATTCACCAGACTCGAACGGGACCGAGGTTTTCCCGTTAAAACGGGTACCGAAAATCCCCGGTAGTGGCAAATCGGGGTTGGGGTCAGTGCCGATATTTAATCCCTCGCCCCATACCCGGTATATATAAAATATCAAACATTTTGACTATTTGTATGTGCGGCCTGCTTGAACTTGGACTTATGGACTTGGGCTTTGTAATTGATATGTCCAATTGTCCACATCTCCGCCATGAATAGTCGTATTCTCGTGACCTGGGCTGGGATGGCGTCGTCTTCTTGCTTCTTCCACGATTCTACAGCTAAGGGCAACTCCAACCTTCACGCTAAAAAAAACACCAAATAAGTGGGCCCGTTAACACCAAAAAAATACTCAACTCCAACCTTTTGCCGTCCACCTCTTCCACGGCAAATTTGCCGTTCATTTCCTTCCTCCGGCAAAATTTTGGTGTTTTTGGCGTGCGATTGGATCCAAAAGAACGGCAAAATTAGGGTTTTGCCGTTCGATTGGAGTTGCTCTAACAGCCCTCAACCGGTGACCGGTTGACCCTCACATCATTCACGATTCTACAGCCGGTCGACCCTCGTGACCTCGTAAATCGTCTTCTTCGTCCACACTCCATAGTCCACAGACCCTCACGCCTGTCACAGTCACCAGCCGGCACTCGGCAGTGAGTCACCAGTGACCAGTCGGCACTCGACAGCGGACGCCGGACAGCCCTCGTCTCATCTATCATCTTGCTCTTCTCCGTCTCTGCCATCAAGGTCTGGGGCTTAAACACAATTGCCAACTTTTCCATTTCTTTCTAATTTCTTATTTGTCTGGATAAATGATTTTAGGGCACTGTGACGACTTCACGCACTCACCGGCGGCTTGTTGCTGCTCTGCCTCTCACAGCCTCCCTTCTTGGTAAATACAATTTTTAGGGTTTAGGTTTAGTAATTGCTCCCTAGACGCTTAGACTTAAGTAATTGACATGTTTGGAATATGTTTGTATGCTTAGTGCTTACACTTTGCACATTTAGTTTGGATTTGGGAACTTAAAATTTGACATTTTTCTGTTGATTTGTTTGGGAGCCTTGCTTAAAGCTTTTGTTATTATGAATTTTGACAATTTACACTTCCTAAGTGTTAATCTTGACAGTGTAAACTTGTAATGACATTGTTGGGATATTTGAGAATTGACTGGTTTTTGCAAATTATTGGGATATTTGACAGCTATGATAAGTCAAGCAATATGAAACAAGCATATAGCTCACAATTCTGTGGTAGGTTTGGTAGGGTTGCATACAATTAGTTCACATATGTTTCCAAGGATCCAATTGAAGAATAAAGTGAGAGATGTGGTCAATACAAGGCCCATAATAAGCAAGTTATAAACATGTTACTTGAAACTTAACAAGCTTAACCGATGCTTATTTAGAAGCCATATATACATACTGAATACGAATTTTTACGACTTCACTTGTTTCATTTAAGAGGACCATCCTAGATAATATTCCTGGCTCTGCCCTTAAATGGGGATGTGCTCTTTTAACAATGGTTCACGTACTGTAGGTGTCTCCACATGCTTCAACAGGCTTAAACAAATTATTCAAGTCTTCAGTTTTCATATTGCTTTGAATTTGTAAGCTAGTAAACTCTGAATAGCATGTGGGTAGAGCTAGTCCATCATAGAATGGTGGGCAGTCAAAAGTCAGTCAATTTGGTAGAGATTATAGATGCAATATTCATTGGTGTCTAAGCATGCATATATTTAGAAATTTTAGCAGATCAAATGTTCCCACTATTAAAAATATGTTGAAGATCTTGATCGTTTGTATTTGGATGGGCATGCCATTCCAAGGATTTTTATAGTGATATGCCATTATGCCTGATTATGTTCACTTGGTTAAATGGGTTCGTTAAACTATTCATCCTTGTTAGAGGTTTCATTTGATACACATATGTGAGGGTAAATTAATATTAGTGACATTCTTTGCTGGTTCTTCATGTTGTGCTGATATGAAATGCTTCTAGTTTATATGTAGTTGGAGTGTTGGACTAGAAGGATGTTACTAATATGATCCTAAAATTTATTGATTGTTATCAGAAACCTCTTCTTATATTAACAAACAATGGAAGATACCATAATCATAATCTCTATGTTATGAAACTTGCCTTCATCAAGCTACTTTTGTAGTCTCTACAACAGAGTATCCTCTTGAACACAACAAATAATTGCATGCATGCTTATTATTTAGACAGAAATGAAAGTTTGAAATACTACTTGTGTTCAAGTTCTTATGAAATGCGTTATACAATTATAATAAAGAAACCGTGGCTAAATGCGATATTTAAATTATGAAAATTGTAATTTTTAGTCATTCAACACTTAATCGTACATGGAGTTTTAATAGTAATTATATGTCAGTTTGCATTTAGTCCAAAAACACTAGGTAACAATTATTTTCCTGACAGTGCTTACTCCAAACAGAGCTGCTTATTTCAGACAGATCTAGACAAAAGCTTACCAAGAAACATAGCTTTTTATTCCAAAGGAATTGTTGGAGTTGAATCTAATTCTTTTTAGGGATTTTGACTTTTGCTTCTTATTTTGGAAATTATAAGAAACTATTGGAGAGGCTCTAAGCATCAACTTTGCAGTAAACCGTAAAATCTCTTTGGTAATTTTGTCTGGCTTTCTTAAATTTACAGGTTAAAAAATTATATTTCTTAATATATGTTCCATTTTGTTTTTCGAATGGTTTAATAGAGCATCCACAAATCACAATGGGAGGTTCTTGTAAGCAAAAACCTTCTTATAAGTCATTACATCAACATGTTTCGAGTTCTTTTACGAGAACCTTAGTTCTTACCTCAATTATTGTGTTAACTATTTTATTATTAGTCTTTTATTTATTTTTTGACTTACATATCATTGAAAAAAATACACGGGACCACAGAAAGGTGGTTCTTGTTAGTGACTACCATATTGAAATTTTATCGAAGGTTCTTAATTCTTAATTCATTGAGCTGCCAATGATGGGGCAAGAAAAAGTGTAAAAAAGTTCTTATTAGCAATCCCCTTGATGGTGTATCTCGAGTTCTTGACCGGTGCCTTTGCTCACAGAGTCACGGTCACCATCAAGCGGTAAGTTGAAATTAGATAATTCTAGGGTTTAGAATTACTTCATAAAATTGATTTTTTAATCGAATGAGACTTATTAATGTTTCTGTTGTATGATTATCAGATTCCAATTTTCCATCCTCCAATCTTCCATAACACATTACACATCTAAATTGGATTTGGGAACTCTGACATCAAGAATTCAGATTCCATATTTCCATCCATCCTCCAGATGATCAAGAACTTTGCTGGTATTATTAGTTACTTGGAAGTCTGCAAAGGAATCAATGATTATTGAGTATTTGAGTTAACCCGTGTTAATGAAACTTGAAAGTGTTAACTGTTTAAGTACTTGGTAGTCCTCAAAGAAATACATGATTATTGAGTTAAGTGTCAAGTGTTTTGAGTTAATTGTTAATTGTTAAATGTTTAATTACTTGGCGGACATCAACTCTTTTCTTGAAATTGTTAGGATAGTTGGCACTTTAGTTAAATTGTAGGATATTTGACAATCGATGATGTTTGCAAATCGTTCAGGTCATTTGACAACTATGGATAAATTTTTAACGAATAGAAAAGCAATTGTTGATTCATCGGAACCAACTAATGTTAATAATTCTAAACAAAGTCAGTGTGGAAATTAACTTCACGGATCTTCCCTTAGAGCCTGGAATGCGGATTAGGATTTTGTTCTATTAAAGAGACCACCCTAAACAATTTTTCTGGCTCCGCTCTTGCTAGTCACTCCATTGGAGATGCTCTTATATTACTTTTTTTTTTCAATGTAACTTGCTTGATCTGCATTTATTCTATGTGAGCAGAAGGAGCTTTGGAGTGCTTGGTGATCCCCTGTAACCAAGTTAAATGCATGATGTGAGCTCTGTGGCAAGCCAGCTTTCTATACCTCGCCAATTTTTACCTCAAACCTTGAAGTTATGCTGAAAAGATCAAATCTTTTATCAACTCATGTTCTCAAAACCCTAAAATCTTTAACCAAAGCCCATATCTATTCGTTCTCTACTTCAGTGGGAAATAATCATGGGAACTGTGTTAATGGAAGTTGTTCAGAGTCTGAAACGGACTGGGTGAGATTGCTAAAACCTTTCGACATTGAACAACTTAGGGAATCGCTCAATAAAATCACCCCACTTCAGCTTCAGAAATTGCTTACACTCCCACTTGATGTATCAACTTCACTTGAGATATTCAATTGGGTGACTACCCAGATAGGGTATTGTCATACCTTTGATGTGTATTATGCTCTGATTGATAAAGTCGGGGCGACTGGAGAGTTTAAGGCTGTTGATAGATTGTTGATGCAAATGAAAGAGGAGGGGATAGTTTTTCAAGAAACCCTTTTTGTTATGATCATGAGGCATTATCAGAGAGCTGGTTTACCTGGTCAAGCTACCAGGTTGCTTTTGGAAATGAGGGCTGTTTTCTTGTGCCAACCGACTTGTAAATCATATAATACTGTATTGGACATATTGGTCAAAGGAGATTGTCCCAAAGTTGCACCCAATGTGTTCTATGAAATGCTTCAAAGGGGTATTGCTCCTGATGTTTTTAGTTTTGCCATTGTGATGAAAGCACTTTGTTCTGTTAATGAGGTTGATTCTGCTTGTACTCTTTTAAGAGACATGACAAAGCATGGATGTGTGCCAAACGCAATTGTTTATCAGACGCTAATGCACGCCTTGTGCAAGGACAATAGAGTGGATGAGGCTTTGAAACTTTTGGAACAGATGATATTGATGGGGTGTACACCTGATGTTGAGACTTTTAATGATGTCATCTATGGCCTTTGCAGGGAGAATCGGATTCATGAGGCTGCAAAATTGGTTGATAGGATGCTTCTTCGTGGTTTCATCCCTAATTCTCTAACTTATGGGGTTCTGATCCATGGGTTATGTCGAACGAAGCAAGTCGCAGAAGCCAAGGCTCTGCTTAGCAAAGTGCCTGAACCAAATAGCATCATGTTTAACATGTTGATTAATGGGTTTGTCATGAAAGGGCAGTTTGACGAGGCTAAAAGTGTTCTGAGCGATAGCATGTTGGGTAATGGATGTCAGCCGGATATTCATACATACAATACACTCATTCGTGGTCTCTGTAAAAATGGGAGTTTGGATTCAGCATGTGATTTGATGAAAGAAATGACATTTAAAGGTTGTGTGCCTAATACGATTACTTACACAATCTTGATTGATGGGTTTTGCAAGAAACACAGATTAGAGGAAGCCAGTGAGATCATGCATGAAATGTCTCAAAGAGGGCTCAGTTTAAACACAGTGGGATACAATTCCGTCATACATGCTTTATGTAAGGTCTGCAACATCCCTGAAGCCCTAAACCTGTTTGATGACATGTGTATCCAAGGATGCAAACCCGACATTTTCACTTTTAATTCATTAATCTTTGGGCTGTGTGAAGCCGATAGGGTGGAAGATGCGTTAAAAATGTTCCAGGATATGATGTTGGAGGGTGTTGTTGCTGATACTGTAACTTACAACACCTTGATCCATGCTTTTCTGAAGAAAGGTGTCATTCCTGAAGCTTTTAAGCTCGTAAATGAGATGCTATTTCGAGGATGCCCACTTGATGAAATCACGTATAACGGCCTAATAAAGGCACTCTGCAGAGATGGAGCCGTTGAAAAAGCATGGGGGTTGTTCGAGGAGATGGTGGAAAAGGGTCTGAACCCCACTACCGTTTCGTGCAATCTTTTGATCAATGGCTTGTGCAGAACTAGTAAAGTGCAACAAGCTTTTGATTTCCTGAGGGATATGGTGCATCGAGGGATGATTCCTGATATCGTAACTTACAACAGCTTGATTAACGGATTATGCAAGATGGGTAATGTTCAAGAAGCCATGAAACTGTTTGAAAACTTACAGTTTAAAGGTACGAGTCCTGATGCGATTACTTATAATACTTTGATCTTTTCGTATTGTAAAGAAAACATGTTTGATGATGCATATTTGTTTTTGAATAGAGGTGTCGCTAATGGCTTCGTACCTAATGATGTAACATGGTATATACTGGTCTCCAGTTTTGTTAAAGAGGCGGGTGATTTATAGACAAATTTGTGCATTTGGAACAACACCATAAGAGTAATCGAATTGTGATCAGAAGAATATCTTGTTTTGCTTGATTGGTGTTGAGAACATGTGTTACATTTAGTGTTATATCTTGAGTGTGAATCAATTTGAAATTGATCCACAATTTGATGGCTCCAATTTTTAACAATTTGGTTAATTCATTTTATGACAGCTGTTTTGTCTTTTGCTAAATGTTCTTCTTTAAAACAACTTTATTCTTTTTCATGGATTGTAACTTCTGATCAGAATTTTAAGGATCATTAACAATATTCTAGCAACACCCATGGATCACACTTCCATCTGGCATGTGGTGCATCATATAGTTCATTGGCGAGTGCTTCACTGTACCAGACCTTAAGGTTCTCCCACTTACCTTCACTTCCCAAAATAGCAGCTACATGGAACTCAAAAGGGGCCCAACAAGATTCTGCAGAGCCTGTTGAAATTGTTTGTAATTCTCTTGTGCTCTTCAAAGGTCAGTTCTTTGTCTCTTCTTCTTTGCTCTTCTACTACATTTGTTTCTTCTAATTACTATGAAAAAGCGTGGAAGTCATGCATCTTTATTGGTATATCTATTCTAATTATCCTTGTTTGAACTAATTTATTTGCTCTATTGTTGCACTGAGATTGTACAGGGTAACTCCTAGTTCTACAAAGTTAATGCACAAATCATATTCTCCTTATTTCACCCTCGAAATTTTGTTAGACTAATTTAACTTCCGCTGTTAAAATATGAAAAGCGCATTGAGAACTTGTTAGGCTGTTAAGAAAATATTGTGGGGTCATCATATTTTATGAAAATGGATGTTATTATGCTGATATAATTGTTCTGATTTTCTTTTTGCAATATATAAAGCTAAAGTTGTGTCGAGTACTCCAAGTAAGGATTTTTTGTCAAAAGATCTGGTAGTTTGCCTCTCGCTCTCCATAAATGTATGCCACTTTGCTATGCGTTGCTGCTTTTCTGTACTGTTTCTTAATTTTTTGCTACCGATTGCTGCTGTTATATATAAGTGGTTTCTGCTTGTTTCTACTGAAACGGGGTTTCTCAAACCTACGCTAATCGCTAAAATATGAAATTCAAACCTGCTGCAAACACTCAAACACCCATCCCTAGAACACCCGTAGGGCAGGATTAGAGAGAAGCAGCGACCGTGTTCGAGAACAGAAAATAGAGAGGGGCAGCATTTCTGCAAGAGCAAAAAGGAGAATGAATTTCTTTTGGCCATTGATATTGTAGGCGGCCATGAGGGGAGCTCTCTCATCCTTTTGTTTCGTTTTTTACAGCATCAGTAACAAACAAAACAATCGTAAGGTTTAGGAAATTGATATAACTTAGAAGGTTAGCGCTAACATTGTAAACTTAATCCAACAGCAACAGCCGGAAAGCAGCATCTCATTCAAATCAAGGATTACAATTGACATCAGCAGCAACAAATCCAAAAGATAGCATCTGAAAGAACAAGTTCGAGTTTATTGTTGTTGGTTGTTGGGTTTGTTATTTCTGTTTTCGGGTGCTATATATCGAATAACAACATTCCCAAATACCGGATGTTTATGCAATTGCTTCATTATAGTTTGTTATTGTAAATTCCTTTCATTTTATACAAGTTTAAGGATTTATTTGTTGAAGATTTAATCGCTCAAATTAATAGCGCCAATCATGAAAAGCTTCCATCTAAAATCCTCAATTGTCCACCTATAATTTACAGATGTACTTAGGGTTTCTAAAATAAAAGAATCACAAAGATTAACCATAAACATACCTTATTTTAAGCCCCTAATATCAGTATCATTGGGATAATCTTAAATCAAAAACAAATCCAAGCTCAAAAATCTCATCAATACATTAACAACAAAGAGTGAGATACAAAACCTTACAATACATCATTTTAAAATGTGATACAAACCTAAAATCAATACCATAAAATCCTAAACCTAAATCATTTAAAGATATAAATAAAGATGGGACTGATGGTGGTAGAGATGACGATGGAGGTCAACGCAGATGGGTGACATAGATGGCCAAAAGCTAGAGATCGAAGGTGCCATCTTTAACGTGTACATTTATGTTGTGTTTCTTGAAATTTGGAAAGAAAAGTTTTTTTTTCCTTTTTCTTTTAATGTTTTTGAGCGAATGAGAAAGAAAAAGAAAGAATTTGATAACTTTTAATGTTTTGTAACATCCACCGCTACATAAGCAGAACAAACAGCTGCTACTTGGCGATTGTGACTTTGTTGCCCAATGTGGAGTAGCCTTAACCTAACCACCCTCATGATTCTCACTAAGTAGGGATGACAAAAAAAAAAAACCAAACCCGATGATGAAAACCGAAAGCCGAACAATTCGGGTCGATTTCGGGGACCTCTTAATGAGGACGGGGTGGGGATATATATATATATATATATTATCGGGCCGGTGTAGTCCGGGTCGGTGAGTACCGTCCCCGTCCTTGATATAATCCCTGAAAATATCCCCGATCCCCACCCCGTCCTCATTAAGAGGTCCCCGAAATCGACCCATATATATATATATATATAATATTTATATTCTATAAATTACAATTTTATAAAAAGCTACCAAAACTACTAAATTCCTAAGCCCAAAGGCCCAATTGACTTTGAGTCTTGAGAGGCCTGGACTCGTCTACTTGTCTCAACTAGTCGACCTCGATGCGACGATGCCTCACCTCACGCCCTCACGCCTCTCGTTCTCTCCAGTCTCCTCTTTGTCCGAATTCCGATCCGTCTGTCCATGCCGGTGTCGGCCACGGCCAGTCGACCTCTCCAGCGAGGCAGCTCTCGTTCTCTCTCCCCTCTGTCGCTATCGAGATAGCCGACTAGCCGAGTCGACCTCTCTGTCTCTCGCTCTCTCCTCTCCCAAACACAGAAACTATCTTTCTTCAAAGGACAAAAGCATATATCAACTCAACAAGAGCCGCTGCAGCCATAGGCCAGGGGCAACGGCCCATGATACCATAAAGTCCAAGGACATCAATTTTCTAAAGCCTAACGTATATATATAGTTTTAATTTTGATTTGGGCCTAAAATTATTACCGTTCCTTAGTCCACTACGATCTCAATCGGCCTTCAATTTGTCCTCCCTCACTCCCTCGACTCTCGCCTAGCTCACGGAACTCACGAACAGAAACCGATTCACGAATCGGCCTTGACTCAATCGGCTCTCACTCTCTGCCTCTCTGGAGTCTCGACGGCCGACCGGCTCTCGGCCTCTCGCTCTCGCATCTTGACTCTTGTGAGTTGTGACTTGTGAGGTTAGGGACTTAGGGTTATTTACTTTACTTGTTTTACTTTTTATGTTTCTAATTCTTGTTTGATTGCAAAACCTAAGTATGAAGCTGTGAAATTGGTCCTTTGTGGTTTGTCATTTATGTTTCTAATTCTTGTTACTGACTTACTGTATCACTTTATTCACTTCAGTCCTTCACTGTATGTCTGTTGCTTATTTTATTTTTATGTTTCTAATTCTTGTTTGATTGCAAAGCCTAAGTGTGAAGCTGTGAAATTGGTCCTCTGTGGTTTGTCATTTATGTTTCTAATTCTTGTTACTGTATCACTTGATTCACTTCACTGTATGTCTGTTAGTCTGTATGTATAATTTTAATGTATCATGTATGCCTAAATCCTAATTGAAATCCATGCCTTTTGCTGCCATTTGTTAATTGTTGGGTGGTTGACTGTTAATTATACATACTGTATCATGTATGTATAATGTCCTTTGTGGTTTGTCATTTATGTTTCTAAGTGTAGGGAAGCCGAGTCTTTGGTTGATGGTGAGCTTTCAAGTTTTGAGTTTATTGTAAGTTTGGTTATTTGGCATGTTAATATTCCTTATTTCTTTAATCCCAGCCTAGGTACAGTAAAAGAGGTAGAGGAAAGTAATTTGCTGCAGAAATTATCAGAAGCTTGCATTGTTGATTTCTCTTAGATTGAGTCTTCAACTGCACAAGTAAGTTTTTATGTTTGTTTAAAGTTAAATGAATACTATTGTTATTAATTGATCTAGTTGTTCATTGAATCAATCAAGCCTATCTCTGAAGTTTTAGTTTTTCGTTCTGTGATTAATATTCAAGTTATCATCCACCGATTTTTGTTCTAATCCCATTAGATTTTGATGTTTATTAACACAATTTCAGCAACTATAATATAGTTGAATAGACCTATAAATGTGCAGTAGTTAAGTGATAATTTGCCCCCACTTGAATGTGCAGTAACTAATTCACTTGACTGTTCTCCCTTGACTTTGCAATTTTACATATGAAACTCATGATTGTCATTTGTCAAGACCCTAAATATGATTATATGAAACACATGATGGACTAATGKAGTYATGCAATAGCTAATTTCATAGGCAAACACCTTAAGTGACTAAAACTAGTAGGACAAAATTAGTGAAGTAGGAATGGGCCATTGATGTTGTAGAGTGTAAATAATTGAAGAAGAACCAACCAATTAAGTGTTTGGAGTTGGATTAAGAAGGTACGAGTGTTGATTTTGGTTTATATAGAAGACGTGGGATGTAGTAAATGGGACAAGTAGATGAGTTAGTGTTATGCTCCTTATTTTGGTTTTGGACAAGTAGATGAGTTGGTGTTTAAACGCAAGGGATATAACAACTTGATTAAAGAAACCTTAATATATTATTTTAAAGTAAACACTCAACTATACGATCACACTTATGAACAAAAAACCCTAATGGATCTCTCGGTCTATGAAGGAAAAAGCTAGACAATTGTAAATTACCACACTTGGGATGTTTTTAATTGGGCATCATTTGGACTTTTCGCCGTGGGCACCAAAAATCTCAGGACCGGCTCTGGTATCAACCCTCACCACTTCTTCTTTCACCCTGTACCCTTTTGGTTGGTGGGTACCCTAATAAACTGCTTTTCAACACTCATCTATTTTTCTTCAAAAAACGTGTTGCTTATGCTGCTTTTATGCTTGATGAGCTACTGATTTCCAGTAATCTAATCAATTAGATCATGGGTTTATCTTGGTTTGTACTTAAGTGCTTTGATTCCCTTTGTTTTTCTTAGTAATCTAATCAATTAGATCATGTGGTTCGGGTCCGGGTAAAACCAACGGGTAACGGTTATTTTGCTCTTAACGGGTTCCCCGATGGGGATCAGGGAACCGCGGGGACCCGATGGGGATCCCCGACGGGGATGCGAGACGGTTATGGTTATCGGTTTCGGGGACGGGGACTCTAAAAACCGGCCCGTTGCCATTCCTATCACCAAGTCACGCCACAGCCTCACGCCAGCGACTTCCCCTGCTGCCTGTCACCCTTCACACCCTCGTCCAGTCACCCACAGGCCGCCTCTGCTCACGAGTCACGCCCCTGTTGCTTACACTTGTAATCCGGTATGGTTTACTCCATCCATTTTTGGTTCCATCCATATGGATGGTTATTAGTTTCTGTTGTCGCCTTGAAAGGATTCAGTGCCGACTGCCTTTATGCATTGTTTAGGGTTTAGTCATTTTCTTTGATAGAGAAAAACAGAAGATCGACTGCAGAAACTGTACTGAAAGGTATGTAGCTGAAGGAGTTAATTTCATTCAAAAAAGATAAGGCCTTCCTGAATCTCAACAAACTCTTCCTTCAACTGTAGTTGCAAAATCTCAGCAACTTGGTCTTCACTACTGCTGTGTAGATCAATTGTTCCATCATTGCAAATATCCCTTGAGAAATAGAAACTTACATCTATATGTTTACTTCTTCCTTGTAGCACTAGATTCTTCGACAATTTGATTGTTGAGCTGTGTCCATAGATGATTTTAGTTGCTCCAGGTTGTAACTTCTTCCTCAAGGAACAGTTTATAACTGCTATGCATTCATGGAAGGAATAAATTTGTTTCCCCTAATTATGAAAACTCTATTCATTCAAATGCATTATACCTAGATTACCACTTGTAACTGGGTGCACCTGAATACTCAATTGTTCAGTGAGGCGAGAACCGTACTGTTTATGTGCTTTTGTTTTGGTATCCATATCCTAGACTGGAAACAAATTCCTTCCATTTTTCCTCAAGAATCTTCCTTTTTCTTCAAACAAAATTTTATTTTAGGGTTGTGTGGAAGGGGTAAAAGATGGTGTTTGGTCAGGTGGTGATTGGTCCACCAGGTTCTGGCAAGACCACTTACTGCAATGGCATGTCACAGTATCTCCAACTCATCGGGAGGTATGCTATTGTGAAATCATTCTTATTATTTCTTACTTCCAAAAGTTGCACTTTGATTTTGGATGTTAATCATGTTATGTTTCAGCTTGAAATCTTGGAAATTATATATGCAGAGAAAAACTTGGCAGTTATATTGAACTATGTAACAGATGCTACAGATTGAGCAACATTTGTGTTAGATTTGCAACAAAATCCACATCAGTTTTGCATTGAGTGATTGACTATTTTGGACTATCAGACACGTGTTTTCGTTTCAAAAACCATACCTAACTTGTGTGGAAGCAAAAAAAAAAAAAAAACACTAAACCACACAACAAAGAGCGATTTTGGACAAAAGATACCAAGATTTATGTTGTTTTTGGCATTACATCTCATATTTTGTTGAAAATAGCTCGTTTATGCAAACAACAGTGTTTTGTGGCATTTTCACTAGAAAAATGCTTAGTTTGCAATGGCAAAAGGACATGGTTAAAAAGGTCAATCACTCATTTTGGACTTGGAAAGTGCCAGGTCTTACATAAAAAATCAAAGTATAGCTCTTTTTTGTTTTGTTTTGAGATGGTTAATGTGTTTATTCCATCATTGCCGTGGTGATGAGATTTGTAATTTTTGTTGCAGGAAAGTAGCTGTTATCAATTTAGACCCTGCAAATGATTCATTGCCGTATCCTCTTTAAACATAGATTATTGCAAACTTGATATTTAATTGTTTTTAAAATTATATATGTTGGTTTTTGGCAATTAGCATTTGGTTGACGTTATACTGATGGGATGCACCCTTCCTTAATATTTATGTTAAGATATGATTGTGCTATCAACATTGAGGATCTTATAAAACTCAGTGATGTGATGAATGAGCACTCTCTTGGTCCTAATGGAGGTTGGTTATCATTTCTGCTGAGTTTGTTCAATTAATTACATGTTCTTTGATATTTCCTTTGGTCTATACTAGAGTCCACTTCTCTTTTGGCTTTTATGCAAGTTGTTGGACTTGTGCATGATATGTTAGAGGTCCCATGTTTGAAATCTCAGCTGATTATTGCTCAGTGAACTGTGGTATGTCAATGTGTCGGCAGTAAAATTTTCACCCTAGGGTCTTGGTAAAAAGAAATACTGAAATTATTAGATATTGTGGTAAAAAAGACTAAAAGATGGCTTCATCTCCCTCCTACTCCCTAGCTTTCATCATCCATCCTCCAAAACCATTGTTGGTCTGTTCACTCTTGCCGAGGGGAATTAACGAGCCAAGTCGAGTCAAGTAGCAGATTATTCGAGCTCAGCTCGAGAAAAGAAAATATAAGGCTCGAGCTCAAATAACTTTTTCAAAATAGTCCTCGAGCTTAAACTCGAATATCTTTTAAATGTTTGAGCTTGAGTTTGATGCTCATTTAAAAAACTCGAGCGTATCATGCAAGTATTTGATTTGATAATGAAGGAAGCCATTGAGCATTGAGGTGAGTGCAAGTATCATCGTAGATTCAAGTTGCAAAAAACCAGTCACATGAGTTTTGTTAATGGCTTTATTATTTTCTGCCTTGGGGATCAACAGCCTGCTCAAGTTATTAGGCAGATGCTGGCCCCCTTGGGAAATCTTTACGCCTTCTTCCTAATTTTGCCTAGCTTGATTTTCTTATGCAATGTGCAAGGGTCTACTTCGAGGGCTAGCTATTCTTAGATGTTTCCCTTTTACCATTGTTTTCTACTCGGGCTTAATTATGAGAACTGTCCTATATTGATCGGCAAGGTGGATAACTGCCTAAAAGGACCGGAAAAACTAATGGTTATCATGTGTGGGACGTCTCCAACTTCAAAGCTTATAGAGAAAAATACGATAAACTTCGGTTAAGATGGAGACCAATCGGCAAGAGGGGAAATCCAAAGTGGCCCGTAAAGAAGTATGTCTTCCAATAAAAGCTAAGGAGGACAGCTAATTAAACCTCTAAGTTGATGGAATTGGGTTTCTTTCCGGTGGCTAAGGCTACCTTTCGTAAAAGTTACTGAAAATTAAGGATATATATAACCATGAGTAGTAGATTTGAGAAAACAAAAGAATGTGGCATGACTTATGCAGAGTTGTTATATAGAAATAGAAGAACTTGTTCATTTGTGATTAATATTGTTGTTCTCAACTAGGTCTTGTGTATTGTATGGATTACTTGGAGAAAAATATTGACTGGTTGGAAGCAAAATTGAAGCCTCTTTTGAAAGGTTAGTATTCATTGAAGGCCTAGCATATAATGCACACTAGTCAATTGCTTTGACTTTATTCCTTGGACAATTTTATGATCATCTTCACTTGTTATCTAGTTATATAATGCACACATGTTTAGATCATTCTTAAATGTCTATTTCATTCTCATGTATGATATATCTGCTCAGGTTACTTCTTGTATTTATCAATTTACTTAATTCTTTAGCTGATTTTCCTTCATTTTAGCTATCCTTTCTATTACTAGCTTTTAAGAACATGTGGTAATTGTCTCTCTGGAATTTCTCATGAAAATTGTTTAATATTTTTGTGCAACTTTTCATGTCAAGTTACCTATTTTTTGTTATCATCATTACAACTATATTTATTATTAATTTGGGTTACAAGATTCCTTTGTCTTCTTTGAAGGTCAATTTAGATATTTGACAAATAGTCGTGCAATATCTTAAACTACATGCCAAGTGAAGCATTGAATTCTCATGGAATGGATGTAATATCTTTAATTTAAGAATGTGAAATAAACCAAACTGAACCAAAAACGAGCCCAATATATCCCACCCAGAGGTGTGGTCTAGGGAGGGTGGGGTGTACGCAGACTTGTCTAGCCCAAAGAGTAAAGCGTCAGTATCTGTGAAAATTCAAGAACATTAACTAAAATCATTGAGAAAAAGTAAAAGTTTTAACCCAACTGGAAAATGAATATATCACCATATGAATTATGATGCATGGATATAATGCAATTGAGATACTTTATGCAAATTATGTTTTTGGTGTTGTTATTTTATAAAGATTTTAACTTAAAAGTTGAATGGTTTAGTTAAGGCACTATCACATATAATATGGTACTCACAAAGTATATAACCAAAGATTTTACTAAGGCACTTTAGTACATCCATATCTGATTGGTGATATACATAATTATTTCGCAGATCACTATCTTCTCTTTGATTTCCCTGGCCAAGTAGAACTGTTCTTCCTTCACTCAAATGCGAAAAAGGTCATCATGAAACTTATTAAAAAACTGGATCTTCGGGTAAGTGATGTCTTTTGTTCTACTACATTTTTCTTAAAAGTAATTTCACACACACACACACACACACACACACACACCTCGTTCCTGCAAAAGTTTAATAGAATTCAACATCTTTCTTTTACAGTTAACTGCTGTGCACTTGGTAGATGCCCACCTCTGTAGTGACGCTGGGAATTATGTGAGTGCGTTGCTACTTTCACTATCAACAATGTTGCATATGGAACTGCCCCACGTCAATGTCTTGTCTAAGGTTGATCTTATTGAGAGCTATGGAAAGTTAGGTATGGAAATTTTCCTGCATTCAAAATTGAAACAGATTGCAACTTTTGTGGCCAAAACAACCAATGTTTAATATAAAAATACAGTGAGGTTCAAATGAGCATGACAAAAGGTTGATGTGATTACAGCCTTTATTTTTTAAAACAAGAAAGATTTCCCTCTCTTTTTAAATTGAAAATAGGCGAAATATAACCAACATTGGAGCCTAACAAATTATACCAAAAAAACGAGCATTTTATCCTCTTTAATTTGACATCCATATTGCTATACTTTTCATCCATTTATTCATCATGTTTACATTCTCAACCTTTTTGTCATTCTCATTCGAATCCACCTTTTATAAAAATATGTATATATTTAGAGAAAAGCAATATGTAGAAACAACTACCAATAACCAAGGTTTTACACTTCATTAAAACATCAATGGAATATTGATTCTGCAAGTTGTGAAGTCTTCAATTTCATAATGGAGGTCAGAGCTGTTAATAAAAGTTCTCTCTTTCTTTATCTCTTTTCTCACTTTTACCATATTCGAGTGAAGAACCCATTCTTCATCTCTCAATAGCTATGGCTTGCTGTTCTTTGTATATGCAGCCTTCAATCTTGATTTTTACACGGATGTGGAAGATTTATCTTATTTACAGCACCATCTGGATCAAGATCCCCGCTCTTCTAAGTATAGGTAGGTTTTTGATTTGACATATCAACTGGTTTTAGCCTCTGCATCTTCTCTATAATGAAGATCATGCTCTCTGCGTCCGATGTGGAAGAAGATTTATCTTATTTACAGCACCATAGATCGTTCTAACTGTTCGGATTGTCGTATCCTATTGAACACAATTATTCATCTATACCCTTTTACAATCTCATAATTACCTGATTCCAGCCAATGTTTAATATGCTTTGATTGCTGATGCTGTTTCTATTAATTTCCACATATATATATATATATATATATATATGTATATATATATGTATGTATATATAGGGGTGGGTTCAAATGAGGACCGGGGAACCAACTATTTCATTGATTATTCATGATGAATAACTCTGATTAATGAAGTTATTCATTATGAATGTCGTTATGGATATTCCTTAAGAAAATTATTAATAATGAAAATACATGATCTTCCTCATAAATTGCATGATATCATGAATAATGAAAATGCATGATATTCATGATTAAAAATATTGTTGATTATTCAGGGTTATTCCTCATGATAACACATGAAATAGTTGGTTCCTCGGTTCTCAACATATTTATGGTTCTCATTTGACCTGCCCTTATCACAAATATTTTGAGAACCATGAGAACTGCTCCCAACCATTGAATGAGTTTCATTTGAGGCTAGGATGGAAGGTGTTTTACATGTTCTGTTCTTTAGTGTGTGTGTTTCAGTTCCGTTTCACTTGTGAAACAATTCTGTATGTTTCATATATGAAACATGTTGTAAAACGCACAATAGTTCTCACGGTTCTCAACATTTTTCTTGTTCGTATTTGATTTGTCCCCTATACTTGTATTCGGTTATCAACCGCTTATTTTATATTCCGCCTGTGTGTCAATATGTGGTGCTTTCCTATCCGGGGTCATGTAGAAGCAAATGCACATAGGAAATTTATGAACCTATATTTATGGTGTCAGAAAACTCACCAAGGAACTGTGTGAAGTAATTGAAGACTTTGGTTTGGTCAACTTCACTACCTTGGCTATTCAGGCATGTTAGTTTTTCTCATCCATTTCGTTTTGTAAGTTGTCTCCCTTACGCTTCATTGACCTTGGGTTGTTTTGAATCTTTTTCAGGACAAAGAAAGTGTTACAAATCTTGTGAAATTAATAGACAAGACCAACGGATATATATTTCAAGGCATCGATGCTAGTGCAGTTGAGTTCAGCAAAATTGCTATCGCACCAACAGATTGGGATTACTACAGATATCCTTTTAATAGATTACACTTTTTTTGGTCCCTTGCTTATTTCTCTCTTTCGCACACTTCTCACAAGCCGGGAGGTCAACAACCCATCTACTCTTTGGGATACCCCACCTCCGGTGGTTTGGTTTAGTCGTTTTGAGTTCATATGCTTCCATTATTGCATCATATTCATAATGCATTCTTGCATTGTATAATTTCTCAAAGTTGGTAGAATCCTAGAAATCAAGAGGCGACACCGTATGTAAGATCCAGACGGTGTTTGTTATCAGCATACGATTATGATGTATAATTGATAAACCGAGTTTTTTTAGATGGTTTACTTGACAGTAATTTCACAACAGCAGCAGTGCAAGAAAAGTACATGAAAGACGATGAGAATTTTGATTCAGATGATTAATCAGAGATGAACAAGCAAGCAAGGGTGAGTTTGTTCATCCCCAAAACCTTTTGCATATCCTTACGCTGCAAGTATTAACATCAACTATACCTTAAGTATTTGTTTCAACAGAAAAAAGAATGGAAGGCCATCGTTGGAGAAGTTGAAGATGGTGCAAAACATCAAAACGTTTAGTCTTCACTTTCGTTGACCGTAAATCTGTAATGTTGTTGTGTGTTGATATGTATATTGTTGTTGAGAAGAGATTTGAGAGTAAAATTGGTTGAGCCTTTGTTGGGTTTGTTTCTCCGGGTTCTAATTTGTGAAAACATGGTCATTTCCATCAATTAAGCACTTCAGTTAGAACATACCAATAAAAAGCCAATTAGAGTGTCCTATCACCACCTGCACTGCAACCATGACATGCCCCCAAAGAAAAACTCCAAAAAATGGGTTGAAAGTTAAAACCACAACCTAAACCCTTTTTGGAGGCTCACTCACTCTCTTCTACAACTTACTACTTTTGGTGTCGTCATATTTACTTTCTTACTAATTTTAGACTTTTATTGTTGTTTTAATATTTAATTTTAGAATTTTTGTTAATTATATCAAGTTTTGTGTTTTTCGCAAAGAATAATACAACAATCTGAAAAACCAAAAAATCCAAACCCGTCTTACCTGAACCTAATTCGATCTCGATGAATTATTTGACTTTGAACTTTTTTTAATACGGCATCTTCAATCCAACACTAAAAACATTAAGAACATAAAAATGAAGGTGTTTTCACCTCTAACCCAACATTAAAACCTTAAAAATATAGAGGTCGTTAAAGTTACCCTCTATATTTGGGCCAACTCTGTAAATGAAATATTAATTCAATATTAAGTTTTTATAATTATATATATATATATATATAATTAATGTTAATGTTTTTATAAATACATATATTATTTTATTATTAATTATTATAATATTAAAATAGGTTTTAGTGTTTTTTTATAGGAAACATCAATAAAACCTAATAGACTTTAGTGTTTGGAATAATTAAGTCTTTAAATATTTTTTAAAAATAAATAGGTTCTGGACTTTTCAAGACATGTTAAATAAAGAATGAGAAAAACAATTTCAATTACTAGTTTAAATTTCGATTTCTCAACCCTTTTTAACTAATTAAGATAACTATAGGAAAAAAAAAATCAAATATCCTAATTTATCCCATATTTTTCTAAAACGTATTTTGGATATTGATAATTTCAATTTTTCATCCAATTTTCCACCTTGAACTCATTGACGATTTTTTTGAAACGGTTCAACGGCTTATTAAGAAAAACCAACAAAAAAGGATCCCATTGTGAGGTGTAACAACCCGCCAAACCAAAAAAAACATACAAAAACGAGCAGAAGCTTAAAAAAACCAAGGTTACAAAGAAACTACAAACAACCAACCAAAATAGAACAAGCATTGAGAAATGAGGAGCTTATCATGAAATATGGTATGGAGAGGCAATCTAGCAGTCCCAAGGGATTAAATCTTTACGAGATCTTCTTGAAATCCAATCATACACTCAACGTATGTCGGCAAACAATGTCTCCGCAGATAATAGTTTCTTTCTAAAAATCGTGTCATTCCGATGACCCCCAAATGAAGTAAGATGTTGCCCAAATAATTGCTTGCCAAAGCCACCCAAACAAGAAGCCTTCCAAGAAGAGCCCACCGGATGAAGATGAAGATGTTGATCTTCATACATGTTTAAGCCCAACAACCATCTACCCGCCAACTTCACTTGCCAACTTTTACCCACTTATCCTTTCCATACTGAACAGTTGTGGGAATTATTCATAGAGACGAAAGTTGCCCAACCATATACCAAACAAAAGGAAATGGATAACACCTCACCAAGTTTAATCAAAGAAGAAAATCTAATCCAAAGGAATCCACAACCGAACCCAGAGAGACAATGTTGCTCCAAATGCCACCATAACCTCTAAACACTTCACTAACAAAACATAGTTCATTGCCATAAGGCTCCTCATACCAAGCCCTCCACCTGAATCGGGGTGAAAGCTATAGACTATTTAATCCAAGCAAACCTTCCCACACCCAAACTCGTTCTTAACTTCAGAAACTAGTATGTATTGGCATTTGTTTAATGGAGGGAAGGGACCCATGATATCAATTCCCTAAACATCAAACAACTCTACTTCCAAGATCCCATTCAAGGGAATTTCATTTATTTTGGAAATGGACCAATTTCTTTGGAATTCATTACATCTTTGTGAAAAGTTGTGTGCATCTTCAAAAAGAGTTGGCCAATAAAAATAGATTGTATAACCTTGGCTGCTATTATTTGGTCTCCAAAATGTCATCCATATGCTGCTTGGTGGCATTGCTGCAGAATTGCTGCCACGACAGTTTTCGAGATGCACATCCTCAATATTTGATCTACACCGAGTTTAAACAAGAAAGTATCATCTGAAAGATAATATTTAGTATCATTGGGAATTTTCTTAAGCATATGGCTAATATAATCAGAAGGTGTTATACCACAAGCCAAGTTATTTGCTCTATCAACAAATCATCGTGGCTCTGATTTTTGTAACACAAGGATTCTTTCATTAGGTAAGGTCTCAATGTTATCTCTTTTTCCTCTCTTAGGCTTTTCTAACCTAGAAAAATAATCTACCACTTTGTTGTCTACTGATTTTTTATCCACTTTCTTAAAGTCAAACTCTTGCAACAACAAAACTCATCTTATCAACCTAGGTAAGTACTTAATGGCGGCATGGTCGGTATGTACAATGACTTTTGTCCCCATAAAATATGATCTAAACCTCTCAAAGAAAAAAAAAACCACAACTAATAACTCTTTTTCTGTTTTTGTGTAGTTAATATGTGCTTTATTTAAAGTCTTGTTGGCATAATAAATGGAATGAAAGACTTTACATTTTCTTTAACCTAAGACAACACCCACAACCTAATCACTCGCATCACACATGATTTTAAAATGGTTTGTTCTTATCAGGAGCAACAACCACTAGTGTAGTTACCAAAAATTTCTTCAAATTTGATGCAAGTATCTTTACATTCATCATTAAATTCAAGTTTTTGATCATGATGTAAGAGTAAATACAAAGGTTTTGAGATTTTGGAAAGTCTTTAATAAACCTTCTATAAAATTTTTCTTTTAACAGTGGTTGGTTTAGGTTGTTTTTCAATCACTTCAAGTTTAGTTTTATCTACCCCACCTTCTCTTTTTGAAATTTAATTTCCAAGAATCTTTAACCATGAAATACCATTTTCCCAGTTAAGAACCAATTCAATTTCTTCACACTTTCGAGACTTTTTTCAAAATTTCCAAACAATTATCAAAAGATGAACTATGGACTATAAAATCATCAATAAAAATTTTATATGGATTTTCGAGCATGTCAGAAATATGGATGCATCTTTGAAAGGTACAGGAGCATTGCAAAGTCCAAATGGTATTCTCTGAAAGGCAAAAGTGCCATAAGAACAAATGAATGAGGTATTTTATTGGTCCTCAGGTGATATGTCTGGCTAATTGGTTGTATCCTAAGTATCCATCAAAGAAGTAGTAATACTCCTTACTAGATAACCTGTTCAACATTTGGCCAGTTAAAGGTAATAGAAAATCGTTCTTTTGGGTAGTCTTTTTAGCACAATAGTCTATGAAAATTCTCCATCCATATACTACTCTAGTGGGAATGAGTTCATTTTTTTCATTGGTGATGACTATAAAACACTCCCTTCTTTAAAACACATTGGACTAGACTAACCCAAGAACTATTGGGTATTGGAAAGATAATTCCTGCATCTAACCACTTCAAAGTTTCCTTTTTAACCGTCTCTTTCATGACAGAGTTCAACCATCTTTGTGGCTCTATGTATATGAAGTTCTTGTCTTCTAAGATGATTTTATGTTGACAAAGAGAATGAATAATCCCCTTAAGGTCAACAATGGTACATCATAAAGCTTTTGTGTACATCTTTATTATATTCATTAACTTCTTCTTTTTGATGTAAATCTAGGGTAGATGATATGATGACAGGTAATTTGCCTTCTTCTCCTAGAAAAAAAACATACTTCAAATGAGATGAGAGTTGTTTTAACTCCAAGTCAGGTGGTGATATTATGGACTGGTAAAGTTCTTTTGCTCACTATTTTTCAACAACTCAAATGCTACAACATGCAACAGGAAAATATCTTCCTCTATAAAAGCTAACGCCTTAATAGTATCCTCATCCTCTTTATCCTCATTGTCCTCTTTTTCCAACTTACGGGCTTCCTTAACTCCTTCCTCATGACATACTGATTCAATATCACATATGGTTGAATAATCCTTTATATCATCAGGGTATTTCAAGGAATCAAAAACATTAAATATAACGTTTTGGTCTTGAAGTTCTTTCGGTGGCTAAAAATGGTCTTCCTACAATGATAACAATATCTTTATCAGCCCCAAAGACTAAAATGATAAAATATTCCAGAAAAATAAACTCATCCACCAGGACTAAGACATCCTCAATCTTTCCTTCAGGGTTGCAATGGATTTTTTGGCTAACTGGAGTATAACATTGATAGGCCTAGCCTCTCTTATGCCTAAGGTGTTGAAAACAGACAAATGCATGAGATTGATACTAGCACATAAATCACACGAAGCCTTCCCAATATGCTTACCACCTATTGAATAATGTAACACCCTAAAAAAAGATAGTCTAAACTGAAAATATCTAACGAGAACCAGAATCTTAGATAAAAAAAATTTCACCCAACAAAAGTAATAGTATAGCGTTTACAATTCCGCTACTGAGAAAATAAATAACAACCTACAAATCTAGATTTTTTTTAGATTAAAGACGGATATTTCTATCAATCTCCAAAATGCCGTAACATAAAAAACGCAATGTTCAAAAGTAACAATGCTATAATTACAAAAGAGCCTTTCACGAACCAACGCTCCTCTCAACCTTTTAGAGCCCCACCGTTAAAGGAACCTAAAAAGTAATTATAACAAAAAAAAAGAGGGTTAGACTTACGCCTACTGAGTCCAAACAAAAGAGTTTACGTAAACATAAAGGAACATATATAAAAATATACATGCAAATAGTTGACGTAACTTTAAACTGGAATAGAGACAGTAATACCTGAATAACTCGAAGTGGAACAATAAAACATCCGAAGATGACGGGGGAGACCCGATTTACCGTTGATTATGACAGACACAAAGTAAGTCATAGATCAACGTTATAGAGCATCACTCACAGGTTTAATACCATCGA